AATTCCTTCTTTGGCTTCGTACAGTCTCCGTATAATATCGGATGATCGGTTGTCCTTGTTGTCTGAGGACGGCGGGGGAGGGATGATGAAAGCCGAGAAGTCGCACTCGTTGCCAATCTTGCGGCTTTCGGCGTAAGTCTGCAGATCCTGCGGGACAGACAAAGGATAAGCCTTTCGTACAAAACGACCACATGACATATTCCATGAATCCGCAGCACAAGGCGCGAGCATATGAAGCCAAATTGCAAAGCCAATGCGAAGGGCATCGTACCACAGATCCCTCGGGAGGCGGTGGGATCGTGAGATTGGCGATGAAGGAGTCGATGTCCTCCCCTTCCTCTAGGTGGATGCCCAGCTGACGAAGGGCAGCGAGCGTGAAGTTGGGGCTCCTCCCCAGCACCTGGCCTCCTCCGCCGCCGCTGACGCCGCCGGCACGGGAAAACACCGAGTCGTTGGAGACCAAGCTGGTATTGAGGCTGCTGAGGGACATGCTGTCTTCAGTGTCGCTGGCGCCTGCTGGAAGACGCCCGTTTACACTTAATAACGGTGGAAAGAGCGACAACTTACACTGAGTTACACTTCTATGCGCACTGGCATCTGCTCACTCCCACATCCACCCTCTTCTACCCTGAACAGAAGGGGAAGAGGGACAGGCAACACGTCGCCCCCGCCCTCAGCCCAACCATTCCCCCTGCCCTTCTTCTCCTCCTAGCAGATTTGGATATAATCAAATATACATATACTGAACTAATTTGTTCAATCGAAGATTCCTAAAATTCCGTTACTGCAACCCTATGTTGTGTCCAACTCAATCTGGGCTTTAGTGCACGTCTATTCACTTTCCCAGCTTGACTCATTTCACCCTTATATTGAGGTAATAAGCTACCATTGATAATTTGATGAAGATGATCGGAAAATATATGACTTATTCCTCGACCGTTACTTGGTAGTGACTAAACCGTATACAATATTTTTACGGTAACTGAAAGTTTGCCTATATCTACAATAATTCAAGACATGAACTATGAACTCCGTGAATAAACTAACTGCACTAAATTGAGTATTATATCAGTCTTTATCTCTCTTTCCCCGCCTGAAACCACGTCTCTGTCTCTCTCTCTAATATTCAACCACGATCATGTAGTAAAGCATAATACAGTCCGGCATGTAAAGGCAATTACTTTACCTGTAGTTGTGGAATCAGCGTAGCTCGCGTTCGCATCATGATCAAGCCAGCTTGGATTGGTGAGCGACCTGAGGTCTCCGAGATCCTGCTCCAGGGCTTTGAGTTCTTTCTCCAGCGTCTCCCTGTCAGCGAAGGGCGTGGGCGGAGTGCTCAGCTGCGGAGGGAACACTTTGGCGCCGTCCTGGAGGAGTACCCCAATGTATAGGTAAAATATGGAACACACATCTATGAGTATTTGCAAGCATGGTATTGTATACAGAAAGTCATACTTTTAGATAATGTTTCATAGTCCTCCTTGATATGAACTAGCATTTGAAGCACGTAAGGTGCAAATAATCTGAAACCTCGGCTGCATCGACTCACATATGCTTGCGGGCGTACCTCGTCCGGGGTGATGGGCGGAGGGATCATTGTGAGGTCGATGATATCTGGGTCTAGGTAGAGCGTGCCCTCGGCAAAGGTGTAAGGCAGGCCCGAATTGTCCTCCAGCTGCTTGATGAGGGCCTTGATGTCGTCCTCGCGGTTCTGGAGGGTGAGGGGCAGATTGTCTGGGGAGTGCAGGCCGAACGATGACCCGCTTGGCTTGAGAACTGAAGAGGGACGTTGCGGTGGCTTGGCTGCTCAAAGAGGGAGAGGAGATGCATTATTGGTTTCTGTTTGACGGCTGGGGCCTCCAACTTTCAATGGGAAGTGCAATGGCATTGTCAAAAACTTCCACGGGAAGAACGGGTACTCACCAGGACGATGCGCTGGGCTCTGCGTGGGCGTGGACTGCGAGTCGGTGTCACTGCCCGAGCGCTCCTCACTTTCCACTACCTCGTTATTTGGCAACAGCTTCTGACCCTGCGGGAGAGAGAAGCTTCATTTAAATGTGTGTAATGTGTGTCTGCAACTGTTGATAAAGATTAATTGTTTATAACACGTTGTCAGTTCATGCACATTAGGTGAACAATTTAAATATCTATGATCTAAAGATATGATGCAAGTTTAAATTGTTTTATTGCTCATTAAATACTAGGCTACCTAAGATTCTAGGACGCCTAACAAACACCATAATTTGGCGTTTTAATAGAATCCTTCATAGCGTAATAGATCAGACTTCATAAATGGCAGTTAAGGGACAGCGTGAGTGAGGAGGGTGCGTGACCCACCTGAGTCAGAAGTAGGAGTGAGTCAGAGTGCTTGAGTCTGCCGTACTGGTCTGATCGGACACTCTCCACGTCCGTGATTTCGCCGTCCGCGTCACTCAGGTAGTGTGTGTGTGTGTGTAGTGTGTGTGTGTGTGTTGTGTGTGTGTGTGTAGTGTGTGTGTGTGTGTGTAGTGTGTGTGTGTGTGTAGTGTGTGTGTGTGTGTATGTGTGTGTGTGTAGGTGTGTGTGGTGTGTAGGTGTGTGTGTGTGTGTAGTGTGTGTGTGTGTGGTGTGTGGTGTGTGTGGTGTGTGTGGTGTGTGGTGTGTGTGTGTAGGTGTGTGTGTGTGTGTGGTGTGTAGGTGTGTGTGTGTGTAGGTGTGTGTGTGTGTGTAGGTGTGTGGTGTGTGTGTGTGTGTGGTGTGTGTGGTGTGTGTGGTGTGTGTGGTGTGTAGGTGTGTGTGGTGTGTGGTGTGTGTGGTGTGTGGTGTGTGTGTGTGGTGTGTGTGGTGTGTAGGTGTGTGTGTGTGTGGTGTGTGTGTGTGTAGGTGTGTGTGGTGTGTAGGTGTGTGTGTGTGTGGTGTGTGTGTGTAGGTGTGTGTGGTGTGTAGGTGTGTGTGTGTGTGTGTAGTGTGTGTGTGTGTGTAGGTGTGTGTGGTGTGTAGGTGTGTGTGGTGTGTAGGTGTGTGTGGTGTGTGTGTGTGGTGTGTGTGTGTGTGTGGTGTGTGTGTGTGTGTGTTGTGTGTGTGTGTGTGTAGTGTGTGTGTGTGTGTATGTGTGTGTGTGTGTGTAGGTGTGTGTGTGTGTAGGTGTGTGTGTGTGTATGTGTGTGTGTGTAGTGTGTGTGTGTGTGTATGTGTGTGTGTGTGTGTAGTGTGTGTGTGTGTGTATGTGTGTGTGTGTAGGTGTGTGTGTGTGTAGTGTGTGTGTGTGTGTGGTGTGGTGTGTGTGTGTGTTGTGTGTGTGTGTGTATGTGTGTGTGTGTAGGTGTGTGTGTGTGTGTAGGTGTGTGTGTGTGTGTATGTGTGTGTGTGTGTATGTGTGTGTGTGTAGTGTGTGTGTGTGTGTAGGTGTGTGTGTGTGTGTGGTGTGTAGGTGTGTGTGTGTGTGTAGGTGTGTGTGGTGTGTAGGTGTGTGTGTGTGTGTGTAGGTGTGTGTGTGTGTGGTGTGTGTGGTGTGTGTGGTGTGTGGTGTGTGTGTGTGTAGGTGTGTGTGGTGTGTAGGTGTGTGTGTGTGTGTGTAGTGTGTGTGTGTGTGTGTGTATGTGTGTGTGTGTGTGTAGTGTGTGTGTGTGTGTAGGTGTGTGTGTGTGTGTATGTGTGTGTGTGTAGGTGTGTGTGGTGTGTAGGTGTGTGTGTGTGTGTGTGTAGTGTGTGTGTGTGTGTAGGTGTGTGTGGTGTGTGTGGTGTGTGTGGTGTGTAGGTGTGTGTGTGTGTGTAGGTGTGTGTGGTGTGTGTGTGTAGGTGTGTGTGTGTGTAGTGTGTGTGTGTGTGTAGTGTGTGTGTGTGTGTGTGTATGTGTGTGTGTGTGTGTAGTGTGTGTGTGTGTGTGTGTAGGTGTGTGTGGTGTGTAGGTGTGTGTGTGTGTATGTGTGTGTGTGTAGTGTGTGTGTGTGTGTGTAGTGTGTGTGTGTGTGTAGTGTGTGTGTGTGTGGTGTGTGTGGTGTGTAGGTGTGTGTGTGTGTGTAGGTGTGTGTGGTGTGTGTGGTGTGTAGGTGTGTGGTGTGTGTGTGTTGTGTGTGTGTGTGTTGTGTGTGTGTGTGTGTAGGTGTGTGTGTGTGTGTGATGTGTGTGTGTGTGTATGTGTGTGTGTGTGTGTGTGTGTGTGTGTGTGTGTGTGTGTGTGTGTGTGTGTGTGTGTGTGTGTGTTGTGTGTGTGTGTGTGTGTGTGTGTGTGTGTGTGTGTGTGTGTGTGTGTAGGTGTGTGTGTGTGTGTGTAGGTGTGTGTGTGTGTGTGTAGGTGTGTGTGTGTGTGTGTGTGTGTGTGTGTGTGTGTGTGTGTGTGTGTAGGTGTGTGTGTGTGTGTGTGTGTGTGTAGGTGTGTGTGTGTGTGTGTGTGTGTGTGTGTGTGTGTGTGTGTGTGTGTGTGTGTGTGTGTGTGTGTGTGTGTGTGTGTAGGTGTGTAGGTGTGTGTGTGTGTGTGTGTGTGTGTGTGTGTGTGTGTGTGTGTGTGTGTGTGTGTGTGTGTGTGTGTGTGTGTGTGTGTGTGTGTGTGTGTGTGTGTGTGTGTGTGTGTAGGTGTGTGTGTGTGTAGGTGTGTGTGTGTGTAGGTGTGTGTGTGTGTAGGTGTGTGTGTGTGTAGGTGTGTGTGTGTGTAGGTGTGTGTGTGTGTGTAGGTGTGTGTGTATGTGTGTAGATGTGTGTGAGTGTAGGTGTGTGTGTGTGTGTGTAGGTGTGTGTGTGTAGGTGTGTGTGTGTAAGTGTGTGTGTGTAGGTGTGTGTGTGTGTGTGTGTGTGTGTGTGTGTGTGTGTGTGTGTGTGTGTGTGTGTGTGTGTGTGTGTGTGTGTGTGTGTGTAAGTGTGAGGGGTGTGTGTAAGTGTGAGGGGTGTGTGTAAGTGTGAGGGGTGCGTGCGTGTGTGCGTGCGTGTGTGCGTGCGTGCGTGTGCGCGTGCGCGTGCGTGTACGTGTGCTTGCGCGCGTGTCAATGTATTAATTAGGTTACGGCCTATCTCACTACACTAAACTA